CCCCAAAACCCCAAAACCCCAAAACCCCAAAACCCCATCGAACTTTGTAACAATTGGGGTAAGTACAAATTTAAAAGTTTGAAATGAAGTGCTAGAGTTGAGAGAATGTTTATCATTTGCTTTCTTCAGATTAATGAAGAAGCAGACGTACAAAAATTAGATTAATCTTCTTCCTCCTCCTTCTTGACGTCTTCTTTGATAACTTCGGAGGAGATGCTTTCTTTGAATTTCATTTTATTATTCTTACCTAAAGATTTGTCATGAAATTACCTTTTATTACTACTGGAGGAGGCCCAACTGGAGGTTTGCCTGCCACTGTAGTGATTCCTGCTGACTTAGGCCCTTGTTTCATTGAGCGTATCAGTTGGCTTTTCAATCCTTGGCTGCTGAGCTTAGAGTTGATAGCTCCAAATTTTAAATTTTTATGAACCTTTTTGGAATTATTAAATGTCTTTTTAATCTCTGTGTTAGCTCTATCCAATTCATTAGTAGCACTCTCTCCAAAGACATAGAGTGTCTTTGTTCTAGGAGTCATTGCTAATCCTGGGTAATTTCTGAAACCAGGAGTGTTCATGCCAAACCTACTTGGCGTTCCAGCCCCTCTATTCGTGTAAATGGTCTGGTATGTCATCCTAAGAGGAGGCAAGCTTTGCTTTAGAGGACTTTGAGGACCCAGAGCAGGAATTCTTGGCCGCACGACTTTTATATCTTTTGAATTTTTATTGTTAATATTCATAGCATATTCCTTCATCGGATGAATATAGATATCATTGTAAAACTGTATGATGTTTCCATATCTTTCATCATCCAATTTTACGTTGGAATACATTGACTGGAATATCTGCATTGAAGCTCCTGTGAGCTGGTGCTGGAGATCCTTATACTTTTTGATAATGTCGTTAAATTTAATGACACGATCTAAGAATTTCTGCTGAACTTTGCAGACAGCATAGATAGATCAGAGGACGAGTTGGTCTAGATGTCGATCAAACATGAGGTAAGTCTCTGAGCTCAAGCATTGCTTCATCAGCTCCCATGCTTGCTCCTTGATCAAGTCTTCTAGGTCGAGGAGTTTTCAAAGGTGAAGCACCTTGTATGCGGCTAGGTGGGATACCCTTTTGAAGAAAAGACTATATGGTTCAAGCCGAGGCTTTTTAGGTTTAGAGACTTTGTGCTCTTCTGGCTCGTTGTTATGCTCTTCTTCAATCATGGGTGATTCTCCTGAGCCAGGAGTAGTGCCCTTCTTTTGAGTTTGTTCCTTTTGCTCCATGTTTGAAGGATGAGATTCTTGCATATTTACATCTTCATTCTGCTTACTTGAAGCTGAGTTAGCCTGATCTTCAGTATTGGGACTATTATATGTTTTCTTGATGAATGCAACAATGGGAGAGTCATTCTTCCATCCGAGTTCTGTAACGATTTTAATCTCAATATCTCTAAAATGTCTCTTGAGTGGTGTAGGCATTTTGGGATCAACAACAATGAAAGAGTTGACCAATTTCCAAAAATCAAAGACACTTAGATCCATAAACTGGAGGAGCTGGACAAACACTAGCTTTTGCTCATTGTAGATGAAGAGAATAGTTTCAGCTGCTCAAGCAAAAGCTGCTTTGTGGAACTCTATTTTACTCAGAGTCTTGCTCAGATTCCTAAAAAGAGCCTGTTTGTGCTCCTTGGTTTTACCCATCATTGAGTTGTTCTCTTCAAGAGTGAGGAGCTCATCCACAATTTTGAAGTAGAGATATTTCAGGTTATTGAGGGAATCTTCTTTGGAGATACTACTGTGGGCATCTGATCTGATCTCTTTGCTAACCTTTTTAATCCATATATCTACGCACTTGAGAATATTTTCTTGGGTGTCTGCACTTCAGTATTCAAAATATTTAGACATTACAGGAGGAAAGTTGCTGTCTTTCAGAGACCTCTTGGCATTTCCTGCTTTTAGTTTGAGCCAATTCACCATCTCTAAAGCCAAACTGACAGGAGTTGCAGGAGTGAAGGCTCTGATACTGTAGGGAGAACTCGGAATCATGCTTGGAAACTTAATGTCTTTTAGTTGAGAACTCAGAGTAATCCCTTTGTCTTCGTTTTGAGTATTTGAAGAATTGAAATCGAGCAAACGTTTTGAATTTAAATGAGGATTAGAAATTTGGTTGTTCAACTCAGCCTCTCTTTTGGCTTGTTTAGGATCCTTTAATTTATTAGCATTCCCCTGTCTTGCGAAGGGAGTCATATTCAAGGCATTGGCAGTGATGCCTTCTTCCAAGAAAAACCTTTCATCAAGATTGTCATAGCATAATTTGCTTCCGTAATACCTCCATAAATTTTTAAAGTTGGCTTCTACATTGATGGAATCTAGCATTCCTTTAATACTCTCATGCTTTTGGTCAGTGATGTCTGCTTTGCTACTCTCTTCCTTATCTTCTTCCATTTCTTCATCCATGTTTAGCTTTCTACTAGCTTTATTTTTGGTGATGAAAATATTTGTCATGTTCAAGTTGTTCAGAAGCTTAGTGAAGAGGTCAATGGAGATCTTGATCGATTCAATGTCATCTTCTGAAGTTACTTTGAAAAGCTTGCAGATCTTATCAAAAATAGCTCTCTTTTGTTCATTTCGATCAGTATTTCCTTCAAAAAGCGTTCATGTGACTTCTTCTTGGTCAAGATTGATCAGCATAGAATATACAGTGGCTACAAGGGTATATCAAGACTCTTGGATACTCTTATTATTTCCATATAATGTTTTTTTATGGATAATAAATAGCATCCAGCCAATCTTCTGGATATTGCTGATATAATTCTCTTGGGCCTCTTTCTGTCCTCCTCAGGAGTCTTTGGAACACTCCATCTTGAGGATTTCACATGTTCTAGAGTATTTGTCATAAAATGAAAATATGAAAGAGATACTGCTGATCATATCTCTAACGCTCTGGATTACTACTGGGTCAAGTTTGATAGTATTAATAATCTGCTTGATCCAGAATAAATAATCATCAATTCTTTCAGAGCTTCCATCTTTGAAGCAATCTATCAGGGAGAAATAATTATTTTGTTCTCGACGTTGGAGTCCCTCTCGAGTTTTTCTTTCGCATTATGTCTCTTTCTTGTTCTGCTTTACTAGCAATGAGCTTGCAGCATTTTCGGATTGTTTCTATACCGATTTTATTACTAAATTGAAAGCAAGGGTGCTATTCGCTAGCAAGTTGAAGAAAAAATTATAGCTTAGGTTGCCTTAAAAGATTCTTATTTTTAATTACCAGTATTTTCTCCCTTCCACTCCTGATTGATTCTTCAGAATTCATTCATAATGTCCTTTCCAAGGTCTATATTAAATTTAGTTTTATATATTAGAAGCGTGAGGGTAAATTTCTGGGCAATAAATGGTATCAAAACTCAGGATTTCCATTCCCTAATTCAAAAACAAAAAATATTTTCCAATTAGCTTAAATCTCTTCTCTAACCTATGGACCATGCCACCCTCCTCCTTCCTAATACAAATTGCTTAACTTCACTAATTTTTTTAAAACAGCAAATGAGGTAATTTTATCCCTCACAATTTCCAATTTCTCAAATTTCTAAATTCCAAAATCCTCAAGCAGACGCCCTCCCTCTTCACCCTATGCTTCCTTTCTACCCTTGCCTTCCCAAGTTCCAAGCTACGACCGGATCTTTTTCTAGGAGTTTTGAGTTGGCAAAAATGGGTTGAAATGGCCCAAAAACGGTTGAAAAACTGTTACCCGCATTCTCCATCTTATATATATTTCTTATTTTGTGCAAGTTTTAAATAAAATTTCTATATTTTTGGGGTTTTGGGGTTTTGGGGTTTTGGGGTTTTGGGGTTTTGGGGTTTTGGGG